CGCCCCCCCTTTTTCCCCCAGCCCCAGGACGCTCCCGCTCCGTTAGTGTCCCAGTTATTGGACTCGCCGATGCCGATGCCGGGCAGGCAGGCGGAGCGGAGCGCGGGCGGGGACGGAGGAAGGAGCGACTCGCCACCGTCACCATCAACGCCTCACCACGGGCACGAACGGAGAAGCCTCTGTGGTGAGGACGGTCCTGGGTGATGGTGACAGAGGTGGTGGTTAGACCTCGCTGCCCCACGCCGCTGCCGGGTGGACCTGTACATAATGGGCCCGTATCGATGGGCGGCTTAACGGCTCCGCCAAAACAAAACAACAAAAAGGGCGAAAAGGAAATTGGCCCTGGAGCGAGCGCCTGGAGGAGAGCGAGGGCTTCGCGCAAGGAGGCGGAGGGGTCCCGTTATTGTGTCCAAAGGGGGCGAGTAAAGTGCCACCCGCAAACCAAATGGCATTGTCTGGCCGGCGGCAGGGGGCCGGGGACCGGGCCAGGGCAGGGCAAGGGCCACACTCGAGTGTACTCACAGGTCCTTCGCTTCATTTTTGGGCACTTCTTCTTCTTGGACGGCTTGCTCTTTTTGGCGGCGGGCGGCGGCGGCGGTCGCGCCACCTTCTTCTTCTTCTTCCTCATCGCCGACGACTTGGACTCGAGCAGCCACAGTTTGACGGCGGGGCGGAACGGGGCGGGCGCTGACGGCCGGCACGCGCTCGTCGGGGAGGTGCGCGATGACACGCGCCGGACCGGACGGCAGGCAGGGGCAGACCGTTGTGCGCGAGCGGTGGGTCGGACCGGAACCGGAGCCCTGGCCGCTGTGCTCGGCGCTGGGTGCTCGCCTGGGCCGGCGCTGCGGAGCCGTGTGGAGCTGTGCGCCGGGGGCCGCGAACGAGAGGCGAGTGAGGAGGATCCCTCGCTCCGGGCCGGCCAGGACCAGGACGCAGCCGGAGCCGCCGGAGCCGCGCGCGCGCGCCGCCCCGCCGCCGGGACTCCGGGACGCAGGCCAGGGGGGGAAGAAGGAGGACGGGGGGACGCCGGCGACGCGTCCGTCCGCCTGCTGCGTCCGCTAGGCCCCTCTCTCTCATGGCGCGCAACGCCACGACCTCCGCGCCGAGGAGGTGTCATGGGGTTGAGGAGCAGCAACCTGCGTGCGCTTAGACCTACCCCGCCGTGTCGGTGTTGTCAGTTGCCATGCTCCTACTTGCAAAGTTCCGACCATCTCCTTCTCCCCTGTCATCACCTCGAGATCTGGCTATGCAGGGGGCGCGGGGCGCCCCGGTGCTTCCGTCCGGGCCGGCGGATAGGACGTCAACGCCAACGCCCCGTCGCATCGCCCGAGAACCTCCCGATCTCCCGTCTCCCACGCCCTCCCGCACCCCACCCCCCGGGTGACATACCTCATACTTTGTCCCGGTAACGGTGAAAAGGGCCTCGCCCGGCCCGCCCCTCGCAGTGCAACTCGACGTGGGTGTATGTGTGTGCGTGTGTACATGTGTATGTGTGTGAGTGAGTGAGTGCGAATGCGGCTCGAGCAGCAGGCACGATACCTGGTACTTCTAACGGTTTGGGTCCCTCGGCCACCTGCCCCCCCCC